TTTGGGTTTGTTTGTTTTTTTTTAACTGTGGACTAGCATGTTCCCTTGTTAGGTCCAATCACTTGGATCAGACATCTTCTGTTTTGCCAAGGAATTTGTCCCTAAACAAACTCCATTGTGGGGGAGGGGTGTGCCTGAGAAACCACCCAAGGTCCTGACAGGAAAAACCCCAGGGAGAGGTGGATGGAAGTGGCAATGACTGAGCAAGAAAGTCCCAGATGGAGAATGAAAGGTGACCCAGAACTATGATCAAGAAAGCCCCCAAAGGACACAGAAGATACACTGTGTGCTGATAAAAGAAGCTTCAGAGGGGATAGTAGGGGGGACATTCCAATTAGAAATGTCCCAGAGGGATCAGAAGACCACCCAGTACCCTGATCAGACAGACAACTGAAGCTCTCTGACACAGGACACTGAAATCCATCATCCCTCTGAGTGGAGAATACAGAACCACAACCAGACAAGTAGAAGTTAACAGCAAGAACCCAGGGAATAGAGATCAGAATCAAATAGGGTTTGTCACCTCATCCAAGCGGGTTGAGTCTGGCCCTAGCATTAGGTCCTAAATCAAAAACAGGCTAGAGATTTTAATAAACAGAAGATACTAACACTAGGAAGAATTATTATGGATCAAGAATGATCCAAGAGGAAAACCTAGAATAAAAGAATGACTCCACAACAACTAAAAGCAGGATCTTAGGAAAGAAAATGTCTTGGGTGCAAAAACAACAAATTTCAAAGAAATAAAGCAAGAGATACAAAATGGAATGCAGAAGATGTGAAGAACCTGGCTGATTCTGGTTGTAGTCTATAATGATCTAAAGTCAAATAAGGAAGCTTAGGGGTTAATTGAACTCTTTAGGTTCTCAAAAACCAATATTCCCACATGAGCATTTTGACAGTCCCGATTTACCAAGTCACTCACCGATCCCCTTCTGTTTAGTGATGTTTGGAATAGACTGTAGCTTAAACTTAAAAGACCTAAAGTGGGCTACCCAGCAGAGCCTCCTCCTGATTGATTCTATGGGGCCTATGGTCTTATATATTTCATTTCATATAAGGATCAGACCAAGTGGAGTCTTTAGTAGATCCCCCAAGGTTTAGCCATATCAGACAATCATCAGACTCTGGATTCATAAGTTCCCAAAACAGCCACTCTATACCACCCTTGAAAAAGAATTGCTTGCTTGTTATTGTGCCCTTATTGCTACTGAATGAACATACACTTGCCCTCCATCCAGAGTTGCTTATTATTAGTTGAGTGATGCAAGATGACCCCTCTAACAAGATAGGTAAGTTGTGGGAGGCTTCCATTTTTCACTGGAGATGGTGCATTCCAGATCATGTTTGCCCAGGCTTCTCTGGTGTTAGCCCCTTCATAAATAACATGTACATAGGCTGAGACCTCCAATCCCAGTTTCGCTGCTTTGCCCCCTCCACTAGTCCAATGTGCCTCCACCGATGAAGATTAAGTCTTAAAGAGCACCATTTTGCCTGGTTCACTGATGATTCTACCTATTATGAGAGAAATATACACAAGTGAACTTCAACTATTGATAGAATAAGACAGATTTTGATAGGCCCTCCCAGTGGGCCAAGCTGCAAGCTGCATGGCCAGCATGCTAGAGAGTCTTGAGAGATGGAATGGAAAAGACAAGATTTGCATTTATGCCAATTCCTGAGTAGTGACTAGAATCTGGCTAAGTGGTCTGGGGCCTGGCGAGAACAGCACTAGACAATCAAAGGCTCTCTTCCTTAATGTTGGGACCAGTGGAAAATTTTTATTGTTGCCTCCTACTGCATACAGTTGTTTATAGGGCATGTTAGTTCCCATTGGACATCACATACCCCCTGTCAAATTAAATGATCCAGTTGATGCCCTTAAGAGAATAGCAGAGATTAAAGACTGACTCTATCATCAATCTAGACGTAGGGGGATGCTACGCTGTGGTGTGTGTGAGACCATATGATCCCATTAAATAAGAAAGATGCAGCTCCTTCTGCTCAACAAAGCTCTTCACACTTATCTGTGTATATATTCAGAAATTTGCTTTTGCTTAACTATCTATATTTGTTTAAAAGGGCTGTGTTTTTCTTCTTTTTTTCAGTTGGGGGAAAGTGAGAGAGAAGACAGATTTTGGTTGACAGAGAAAAACTAAAATTTAGAAACATCAATATCCAACGCAGAATTGGACCTGGGCAAGGACATTCCTTGATTGAACTGCAGAGGGCAACAACAAAGGTTTTGATGTTCTCTTCACTCCTTCGCCGTTTCCTATTTTTTGCTTGAGCCCTCATTGTCAAGCAAAGTGACCTTAATTCCTCCTAAAAAGAAGTATATCTCAAATATATGAAAGGAGTTGAGCCTTTGTCTTCTGTAATGGCCAGTTCAGTGGCAATAGCATTTGAGACTGATCTAGTCCTTTGAAAAATCCCTGAAGTTCCCCAAAATGAGACCCAAGAAGAGAACATTCTGTGGCCCTCCCTGAGGAGTAAACCTTAAATGGATCATTGGACTGAGTCACTTGATGCCAAAACAAAAGACTTTATTTTTTTGATGGGCTTCCCCCGCCTCAGCTTCCCACTAGACAGAGAATGTGCCTCAGATATACCAAAGATAAAACAAGACTCTTCATTCAAAAACTAGCTTCTTAGGCATAGTTAGAAGCCTTAATACCCCACTGTCTGGACAATTCATCAACCAGCAAGGACTCCTTCAGGGTTCCAGAGGAAGAGACACTGTCATCAAGACTAGCCATGCCATTTTCCAATTGATAAATGGTCAAAGGATATGAACAGGCAGTTTTCAGATGAAAAAATCAAAGCTATCTATAGGCATATAAAGAAGTGCTCTAAGCCATTTTTGATCAGAGAAATGCAAATTAAAACAACTCTGAGATACCATCTCACACCTATCAGATTGGCTAACATGATAAAAAAGAAAAGTGATAAACGTTGCAGAGGATGTGGAAAAATTGGGACACTGATGCACTGTTGGTGGAGTTGTGAACTGATCCAACCGTTCCAGAGAGCAATTTGGAACTATGCCCAAAGGGCAACCAAACTGTGCATAATCTTTGATCCAGCAATACCACAAAGGTCTGTAGCCCAAAGAGATCATAAAAAGGGGGAAAGGACCTACATGTGCAAAAATATTTATAGCAGCCCTTTTCATGGTGGCAAAATGTTGGAAAATGAGAGGATGCCCATCAATTGGGAAATAACTGAACAAGCTGTGGTATATAAATGTAATGGAATGCTATTGTGCAGTAAGAAATGATGAACAGGCAGATTTCAGAAAATCTTGGAAAGACCTTACAAACTGATGCAAAGTGAAATGAGCAGAACCAAGAAAACATTGTACACAGTATCAGCAACATTGTGTGATGACCAACTACAAATGACTCAGCTCTTCTCAGCAACACAATGATATAAGACAAGTACAAAGGACTCATGAAGGAAAATGCTATCCATATCCAGATAAAGAACTGATGGATTCTGAATGCAGATCGATGCATATTTTTTCACTTACTTTATTCTTTCTCGTGTTTTTTTTAAATCTGTTTCTTCTTTCACAACTGTAATTAATATGGAAATTTTTTTACATGATAGCACATGTATAAACTATATCAAACTGCCCACCATTTTCAGAAAAGGGGAGGAAAAGGAAGAAGGGAGGAAATTTGGAACTCAAAATCTTGTAAAAAATGAATGTTAAACATTTTCTTGACATTGTAACTGGGGAAAAAATACTATTAAACTTAAAAATAAATGATTCAATTTTTTTAAAAGACTAGGCATGATTGGTGATTTGTAATCTCTGACCCTCACATTCTTCCCTCTGTTAAAAGGGGAAGGATTAGAAAGTATTAAAATGAGTCCTTGGTGCCAATGAACTTAAACACCATTGGCAGGCAAACAGTTTGTATTTTTTCCTGAATCATGCCCTGAAGAATAGGTTCTACATTCTTCATCCAGGAAAAGACACTTCCCCAGCCACATTCCTGGGAGCTCATCTTTTACCTCCATCCTAGAATTCACTTCTATTCAAAAATTTAATAAATTTTCAGTTTAAAAGACCTGGACATGTGCTCATAGCAGTAGGAAAGAGAAAGAATACAATAGACTTGGAGGCAACAAAATGTTGAACACAGAGATATAGTAAAATAGAAAAGAGAAACCATGCCAAAACCCAAGTGGGATTTGGAGTCTGACTAGCCTCTATTTTCTCCTCTTTTTTCAGAGACCCCAAATAGCCTTGGGACTCCAGGCTGATTCGCAGGGCTATTATCCCTGCTTCCCACAATGACCATGATCCTTCTCTCTGCCTGCCATCTTGACTTCCAATGGACATCTTCCAAGACCCCAACCTGCCCTTTCTCTATCTCCTCTTTTCTATATCCAATTCCAACATCCATTTCCTAAGCTTAGGCTTCCATCTCTACCTCATATTCACTGTCTCCAGAGCTCTCCAAATAGCATGGAACTCCTACTCCGTTTTCCAGCCAATGTGATCTAAAGGTGAACCAATGTTACAAAAGAACTTTACTGTTGGCAATAACAGTCATTGGTGCCCAAAAATCCTAGTCCTGGCAAGGTTTTTTTTTTCCTAAAAAAAAAGATATAGGGTCTCTCCCTAATACCTGTCTACTAGTATCTTTCATCAGAGCTGAACCATGAAAATGGCAGAAGAGAAACACCCTTCAATGCACAAGGGCAAGATAACAGGACAATTCGACTAGCCCAACTCCCAGTCAAGTCTGTTTGCAGTGAAAATTTCCTGTGCCCAGCTTTGTCCAATGTCCAACCTCCCTCCAATTCCTGGCTCCCCTGTTTTTCCCTAGCTTCCTCTCTAGTTTCTTTCTGGGCCTCTCCTCTGTCTTCTCCTTATCCCAGCTTCCTATACCCATATCCATGCCCAGTCCTATCCTACCTGCTACAGCTTAGAGCAGCTCCCTCTGTAGCTCTAGGCTTGGATATCAGCCTTTTTTTTTAAGTACCTGTTGTCTGTCTCTGTTCTCTGTAGTTCTGGAAAACCAAGGTCCCCGTCTCCTGTTATCTGCATGCTACCTGCCCTTCATTTTTATCCAAAGCCAGGTCCACAGATTCCCTAGACCACACCTCCGACTACACCCCCACAGACAAGAGGCTGAGGGAGGGCCATTGAACCAGAAGGGAACCTGGGCAGAAGCGAGGGTAGGGAGGGGAAAAGGTTTTGTCCTTGTTGTGTGTGCACAGATTGCAGTAGGTGAAAGGACATGAGAGATTAAAGGCCAGGCTCCTAAGGTCATTCTCTACACTAAGAGCTACCTTCCTGCTCCTCTTCTTCTTCTCCCTTTCCCAACCACCCTGTCCTGGTTAAAGAAATAAAAATGCAACCCCTCTCCCAAAGCCAAGAACCTTCATCCCAACAGTCCCAATATGGTGCTTTCTATTTCATCTGCCCTTCCCTCTCCTCTCTTCTCCTTTTCACTCCTTTCTTCTAGGTGGCACAGTGGACAGACAGCTGGACCTAGAATCAAGAAGATCAGAGTTTAAATCCAGCTTCAGACATTTACTAGCTATTTGACCTTGAGCCAGTCTTTTAACTTCTGTATACTTCACTTTCCTCATCTGTAAGATGGGAAAAACAACAGCACTAATCTCCCAGAATTGGTGAGAGGATAAATTGAGATAAGATTTGTAAAGAACTTTGCAAATTTTAAAGTACTACACAAATACTAATTATTATTATTATTATTATTATCCCCTTCCTATCCTTTTCCAATTTTCCTCAAATGAAAAAAAGAAAAAAATGGCCCCCAGGAAATAGCCCAAGTGTGAGGGACACCTGCGGTTTGGAGAATTCCTGGCACCCAACTGCTTCTGGCATTAGCTAGCCTCTTCTTGAAGGCAGAGACTGCCCATCTTGTCAATATCCAGAATCACCAAATTCTATTGATTCCCCCTCTACATCTATCCCATTATTTTCATTCCCTAACTTTCACCCTTGTTCAGGTCTATATCACTTCTCTCCTGGAAAGTTACACGAAACTTCTAACTGGACTTGCCATCTGCATAGTGTAGCACCTGCTTAGACCAGGCTTCCTCTTCACATGGCCTGTGCATTCCTCCTGGTTACACTAGCTGGGGACAAGAAATGTAGTGGGAGGAGGGGATCGGAGAGGAAAGGGAGAAAGAGGAATCACAAGAAATTACCCAGAACTATGAATAAAATATTCATATCTCCCCCATCCTTAAAAACTCTTGCTTGGGGGGTGCTGAGCCAAGATAGTGGAGGGAAAGCAGTGACTGATGGTTCTAGCCTTGGCTTGAGAGAATGAGGCCAAAGCGTCCCTACTCATGTAACTCACATTTTTCCATCTTCTCTGCTTTTAGCACAAAGAGAGTAGATGGCTCCAGTGCTTAGCACAGTGCCTGTTACTTAATAAATAAATACTTAATAAATAAATAAATGTTGATCAGTTGATTGAATAATTAAATCCCCCATCATTACTATATCATACCTTTGTGCCAGGCTTGTGATTTCTTTCCCAACCTCATCTCTCTCCTTTTTCAATCCCAGTGGTTTATATGGCACACTACAATGACAAAATCTCTTGTTTTCCCTCTTCTGAGCTTTACCCAAATTTTTTTTTTCCATACATTTCCCCTTTGACTCCTGGATTTTCTTACATGAGTATGCTTTCTTAATGTACAATGCTACCCCCTACTTTACCTACGCTGCTTCTTTTAAATAAGTTACACCCATTCGAACCATAGGTTTCATCCCAGTAAGTCTCAGCGGTACCTATGAGGTCAAGTTTGCCTCCTAGGGATAGCACCTCTAGTTCTTCTTAGTATCTAATGTCACTTTTCTTGAATTTTGTCTCCTGTGAATATCTGGGTGTCTCAGCTGCCATTCTTTCTTTTTATGACTACTCTCTACAGTATCCAACTTGAGGGGTAAAGATGGAAAATCTTCTCCTTTCCCCATCCTTTTATTTTAATGTCCTGATTAGTTTGGCAAGACACCTGACAAAAAAACATTCTGATCAGTTTTTTTTTTAGGTGAACTCCACATCTGGCCAAATATCTGTCAACCTCATATTTTGAGCTGTTAACCAGAAATCTGGATCCCATTCTAAGGCACCTTTTTCTTAGTCTCCATCTCTTCTGCAGTCCTGAGGTTTACAGAGAAGACATCAGCAAATATTTATCAAACAAGCAAACAACTGTCAAAATGTGATTATGACACGAGTGGATAAGAAAACAGTAATGGATCAAAGTGACACACCCTCATCCCTAAGCCTTCAGTGAAAATCCCTAGGAGGAATAGGCAGAAAAATAGAGATGACAAATGGGAACAAAGATTGGAGACTGGAGGTAACTCTAAGTGAAAATTTCTAGAGGTCAAACTAAAACACAGCTGAGGGTGTACTAAATAGGATGAATCAGTTGTGAAGGTAGGGAGTGCACATTTAGCTTGCTCCCCACGCCCGCCCGCACACTCATTCAAGGTCCTTGACCTTTCCTCCACAACTTGTTGAGATCAGAATGCCCCGGAGTACATGGGTTAGAAGGGTAAATGGGAGCTCTCCAGTGTTATTTCATAAGATGTTTGCCCTGAGGAGTGCTTGCATATTTTTACCTTGTTGAAACAGATTTAATTACTATATATTTTGAGGTTGTTAGGTGGGTGAGTTATATTTTTTTTTAAAATTCTGCTACCTTGTTGATCATATATAATGCACTTTAGAAAGGCCAAAAATAGTTACAACACCTAAGTGGCACAACAGATAGAGAGCTGGACCTGAAGTACAAGTCAGTAAGACCTGAGTTCAAATCTTGATTCATACGATTATTAACTGTATGCCCATAGCAAAGTCACTTAACCTCAGTTTCCTCAAGTATAAAATAGAGAGAATAAAGCACCTACCTCCCAGGATTGTTGTAGGGATCAAATAAGATTATAAAATATACTGCACTTAGCACAGTGCCTGGCACATAACAAGTGCTATATAAGTGATAGCTATTATTAACTTTATTATTTTATTATTTAAGTTTTGGTGCTTAACAGAGTAAGTTTCATTTATTTGGAACCACATCCTTTTATATGCCAAAACACTGACTTCTATATAGTCCCTCCTTCCTTGACTTCCATGACAGTATATTCTTACAGAGACCCTCCTATTTCTCTGACTACTTCTCCTATTTCTCTTTTGCAAGACACTACATCCCTGAACCCTCTCCACTTCTAGGTATACCTTATTTCATGGCCCCACTTGCTCTTCTTGGTCTCTTCTAGATCTTCCGTCTCCTGTCATTACTAAGCAAACTCTTCTTGAAGGTTCACTTCACCTGTCTATATTGCCTTCTCTAGGTCTGAATTGCAGTGTTCTAATAGCCCCTGAAGTATTCCCTCTTTCTCTAGAAGTTCTCATAGTCTTCATTTTCACTCCAAACCCTCCCTCATAATTAAGCACGCAAATATCATATTAATGGACCCTCAAACACACTGACCTCCCAGTTCACCAACCTCCTCAACTCCCATGATCTCCACCCTTCCAAAATGGAAATTTCTGCTGAAGCCCTGCCAAGCAATCATCCCCACCTCCCCTGGAAGATCTTTCATGAGAGTGAACCCATTACCTCCTAAGAGAGCGCATTCCACTTTTGGACAATTCTGATTGTTAAAAAAAAAAAAAAAAGTTTTTACTTACATCAAGTTCTAATCACTTCTGAGTAATGACTCTCACTCATTACTCTCAGACCTGACATCTGGGGACAACAAGCCTAATCCTTATATTACATGTGAGCATGTAAGCAATTACTTAAAGACAATTATCATGTATTTTTTCTCAGTCTTCTTTTCTCAAATATTCCTAATTCTTTCCATACTACTATCAGCTACTTTATTCTGGAAACTATGCATATCCCATTTCACCCTAAGTTCATATCAGCTTCTATGACACATTGTCAATTCATATTGAGCATCATGGTAGTCTATGAAAACCCAGAGGTCTTCTATAGTCATGTCTACCCTATCCTGTGCTCATGTAGTTGACTTTTTTAACCCAAGTAAAGGATTTGACATTTATCCCTAAAACATTTTATTGCATTAAATTTGGCCTATTGTTCTAAACTAGTCTATGGGGTGGGGAAGGCAGAAATCTCAGCTTATTCCTTCAACTATCCCTTACAGCTATCCCTCACATATTCATGTTATCCAAAGGTTTAATAAACACACCATATGTCCTTTTAACCAAGTAAGTGAAAAAAAATGTTAAGCAGAACAGGGCTAAAGTTCAAAACATGTGGTATCACATTACAGAACCTTCTTCAATGTTGATGTCAAGCCATTAATCACCACATTGATCACCAGCTATGAAATTCTATGATTCTGTGGGAGCTGAGGGGGAAATTGAAGAAACAACAATGTGTCCAGGCGATACACAGTTGTAAATTCTTATAGTAACCTTGTGTTTGACAAATGTAAATATTTAAGCTTTGAGGATAAGAATTCATTATTTGGTAAAAAAAAAATAGTTGGGAAAACTAGAAAGCAGTCTGGCAGAAATTGGGTATAGACCAATGTCTGACACCATTTATACCATTTATAAGGTCCCAGTGGATACATGACCTAGATATAAAGCTACATATCATAAGAAAATTAAAAGAATATGAAACATATTGCCAAATTTATGGAGAGGAGAAGAATTTATGAATAAATAAGAGATAGAGAACATTGTAAGAAATAAAATGGATAATTTTAATTATATTAAATTAAAAAAGGTTTGTACAAATAAAACCAATGTAGCCAAGATTAGAAGGAAAGCAGAAAATGGGAAGGGGGAGGATTTTTACAAACAGTTTATCAGATAAAGTTCTCATATCTCAAATATATATATAATTTTGTCTAATTTATAAGAATATGAGTCCTTCTGCAATTGATAAATGGTCAAAGTCAGTTTTTGGATGAAGAAATCAGTTATATATAATCATATGAAAAAAATGCTCGAAATCATTATTGATTAGAGAAATGCAAATTAAAACAACTTTGAGATATCATGTCACACCTATCAGATTGGCTAAAATGATAGAAGGGGACAAATATTGGAGAGAACATGGAAAATTAGGTACTAATACGCTGTTGGAGGAACTGTGAACTGACCCAGCCATTTTGGAGAGCGGTCTGGAATTATGCCCAGAGTTATAAAACTGGGTCTACCCTTTGACCACTATTAGGTCTGTATCCCAAGGTCCCAAGGTGATCAGGGAAAAGGGAAAATAATCCATATGTTCTAAAAAAAAATTATAGCAGCTCTCTTTGTGGTGCCGAAGAACTGGAAATTGAGGGGATGCCCATCAGTTGGGGAATGGCTAAACAAGTTGTGGTATATGATTGTGATGGAATACTATTGTGCTGTAAGAAATGATAAGCAGGATGGTTTTAGAAAAACATAGAAGGACTTGTATGAAATAATTAAGAGTAAAATGAGCAGAACCGAGAGAACATTGTATATAGTAACAGCAATATTGTTCAAAAAATAGCTGTGAATGACTAAGTTATTCTGAGAATTATAAGTATTCAAATCAACTGGACCATAAAGGAAGATGCTATCCACCTCCAGAGAAAGAACTGATTAATAGAAGTATACATAGTGTGGTTTTACGTTGTTGATGTTTGTTGTCTGTCCTTTGTTCTCTGAGCAGAGGATGACATCAGAAGGATGATGTCTTTATTGAAAGTGAATTGGATTTAAGTGAGGCAGAGCTATGCAAAGTCATCAACCTCACTCTCCACCAGAGTCATTGGAGTCCAGAGACAAGACATTTAGGTCAAGACAGCTGGCGATGGCCCAGTAGTTTTACATAATGTATCAGTGTCAAATGGTGGCCATCTCTAGCGCAGGGTGAGGAGGAGAGGAGGAAGACAGTTTGGAACTTAAAATGTAACCCAAAAAATTAATTTTAAAACAAAATTTTACGTGTTTTCAAGATTTCCAACTAGGATCCTAGGGAATATGCAAATCCATTAACAGGAGTGAGAAAATTAGTAGGAGGGACAGATTTTGAAGGTAAGGTGATGAGCTCAGTATTTTCACATTGATTTTGTGGAGATGTCTAACAGGCACTTAATCATTTCAGTCTGGAGCTCATCAGAGGTTAGAGCTCAGGGGTTGCTGCATATATTAATCACTGGTAATTCAGCCAGCCCCAAATTCATCTGTGCTATCATCTAGGCCCTTTTGATCACAAAAATAGCATGAGAGATTTTCTCAAATGCCTTACCAAAATCCACTGATCAGGAATGTAGAAAAAGAAGCCTGATAGGGCAATACCAGGAAAGCCTAGTTAAGGAAGAGTGTTCAGAAAGAGATGCTGGTCAGTGGTGTATAATGTTGCACAGAGGTCAGGAAGGATGGGTACAGGGGGTGGGGGTGGAAGGTATTGAATTTGACGATGGTTGCCTGGGAGAGAACTGTTTCAGTTGGGTGGTAGGAGTGGAAGCCAAAATGCAAGGCATTGAGAAGTGAGAAAAAGGTGAAAACATGCAGACAAGCATAGAAAGGTTTTGTTTTTTTTTTCCCTAGGAGTTTGGCTATGAATAAAAGCAGAGATACAAGATAAGCTTGAGGCAACTGTAGGAGCAGGTAAAGATTTTCTAAACATGGGGAAGATCTGGGCATGTTTGAAGGCAGCAAAGAAGAAATCAGTCGATAAGGGTATATTGAAAATTAGACGGAGAAGACATAATCAAAAGTATGAATCCTGAATCTGCCACTTCTCACTCACATTGCCTTGGGCCTCTGTTTCTTTAGCTATAAAATGAGGAAACTGGACAAGGTGCCGGCCCTAAGGTCCCTTCCGACGCTAAATCTGATTATAGTCTGTTGTCCAAAAACATTCCAGCAGAGGGAGCTCCAGGCTACATAATCCACTCTCCATTTACCCTAGGCATTGAGCTCAAAGGGTCAAAGAAAGACAGAGAGAGAGGAAAGAGACATTTCTCCCCTATCCGGGGTCAGGCAGGCTGCTGAAGATGGAGGACCTGACCGCCCCTCAGAGCTGTAATTCCATGAGCCTTAAGCTAGTCACTTTAACTTCACTGCAAACTTCAGCTCTATAAAGAGGCAGAGGAAGGAAGATGACGATTCTTGCACCCTGCCTCAAGGGATTATGAGTAAAGTGCTTTGTAAACGTTAAAATACTGTACAAATGAAGCTGCTAAATGATTCCTCAGCCCGGTATTTAAGCGCCTCCACAATCCACCTTCACCCAGACGTTCTGGCTGCCCTGCATTCCATTCAATTCATTAAATATTTCTTAAGGAACTTCTACGTGCCAGGCACGGTGCTAAGCATTTGCCATCTCTCTACAGACTAGTCTCCTAAAGCTTCAGACACCAGGCTTCTCCCATCCAGGAACCCTCCTAGAGTCAGATAGATGGCCCAATACTGGGGTCTGCCTGGAGGGGATCTCCTGATTACGGCATCATGCCATCCCCAATCCACTTGGGATGAGACAAAGGGTCAGCAGTAGAATGTGAAGAGGAAGGGTAGTCACCAGCTATTTACGTACCCAGATGCCCCTACGTGATCTTTCTTGGTACTGGAGAAAAAACTGAACCCACCCTCCATCATCAAAGGACCCCAGAGAGTGAGACCCCCAGTGAAATTGCATGTCCTCATCCCCCCTCCTCAAAGAATGAAATCCAAGCTATCAATAGCCATATGGAAAAAAAAAATGCTCCTAATCACTAATAATTCAAGAAATTCAAATTAAAACAAGCATGAGGTTCTACCTCACATCCATCTTATTAGCAAACATGACAAAAATGAAAAATGAAATTGTTGGAGGGGCTGTGGGGAGATGGGCACATTGCAGTGCTGTTGGTGAGCCCGTGAATTGGTCATAGGATTTATAGCCTTAGAGCCAGAAGGAATTTTAGAAGCCACTGAATCTAGCCCCCCTCATTTTTACAAATGAGGAAACTGAGGCACAGAAATGACTTGCTTGGTATCATACAATTAATAAGCATAATATCTGAACATCTGAACACAGTTTTTGGTCCAGCCATTCTGTTAAATAATTTGGAACTATACTCCAAAAATCACCAAAATGTGTACCCTTCGACCCAGCAATGCTACTACCAGGCCTATGCCCCTCAAAGAGAGAAAAGAAAAGGGAAAGTACCCATATTTACAAAAACATTGACAGCAACACTTTTTGTTGTAGCCAAAAGCACAGTTGTGACCATTTCAGGACCCTGCTCAAGAATTTTCAATGTCTCCCGATGGCCTCTAGAATAAAGTAGAAACTCTTGTGTTTTGGCATTTAAAGTCTGGTACGATCTGTCTCCAGCCTGTATTTCCAGAAAGTTCACATTACTCCCCTTCACATACTTCACATTCCATCCAAATGACTGTTCCCCAATTCAACATTCCAGCTCTCATCTCCCAACCTTTGCAAAAGCTATCCCCTTGCCTGGTATGCCCTCCCTCCTTATCTTCTTCAGTACTTTCAAAGTGTAGTTCAGGGGTCACCTCCTATAAGAAGGCTTTCCTGATCACCCCAGTTTATTTAGTTCTTTCTTCTTCCACAGATTATCTGGCATTTACTTATCTGCCTACATGTTGTATCTTCCCATTAGAATGTAAGCTTGGCAATGGGGAACTTTCATTTTTGCCTGTTCTTCTGAGGGCCTAGAACAGTGCCTTGCACATACAAAGGAAAGCTCTGTGAATTGAATTGGGTCAGTGTTTTGTTTCGGGGTTTTGTTTTTTTTTAATACCTCTGTGCATCCCCTCCCCCAAGCAGCCTCTCCAATATCCTCCTTGGGAAGCCAGAGTAACAGAACGACTGGCTGAAGTCACGACTCTACCTACAAAGCATTACTTAGCCTTAGCCTTTGTCTTGCATCTTTCCCAATTTTCCAGGTGTGAACTGAAACCTTAGAGTTCTTGTGATTTGCATTTCTCTTATTATTACGTGTCTGAAGCAATCTTTCTTACGGTTGTGGGTAGTTTACATTTCTGCTTTTGAAAACTCTTTGTCATATCCTTTGCCTGCTTATCTATTGAGAAATTAATCAGTCATTTATATATTCGTGTTTATTCCCTACATACATGGGACACCATATCTTATCTATTGAATCTGATTCAACGGTTTCTTCTTTCCCCCCACCTCCTGCCACTGCTCAATTTTCAGTTTCCTTTTTCTCTTTTTTCTTCTTCCTTTCGTTCTTTCTTTTTCTTTCTTTCTTTCTTCCTTCCTCTCTTTCCTTCTTTCAGGCTTGGCCTCCCTCTCTTGCCCAGCTAGAAGTACAGGTGTTACACATGGGACCTGTCCCTCTCTGATCTGCATAGGACTTTTGACCTGCTCCATTTTCTTCGAGTTTGTTTGCCTCTATTTAGGTAATCTGGTAGTGCCCCTCTTCACAGGGGCTCACACCACCTGTGCCAAACTTTCTTCTGACTCCCCAGTGGGCTGAGCCTGATTGATTCAGAATTCCTGAGCTCAAGAGTAGCTTCCCAGTAGCAGGGATTCCAGATATGTGCCTGGCTCCCTTGTTTTCCCAACTGCCAACGTCAGAGGGAGTAGAACCAGAGTAGATAGATCCTGACATCCTCCTGGTTTTATTAAACAAAATCACATAATTTCAGAAATGTACAGGCAGATCTGGAAAACTACATTCAAGATGAGGGCCTTTGATTTTCTTTTTTCTTTCCTTTTTTTCTCTTTTGTCTTAAAAAATAAAATAAAAATGAAAACAGCAAATGATCCTATAACTGAGGAAGTCCAATCAGCTCCCAGAGAGCAAACCCAGCAGCCAGAAGGGGGTGATACAGCCCCCACAAAAAATGGAGAGTGGTTGGAAGCTGTGACCCCCTCCTTGGTTCCCACTTCTAACAACCCCTGAAGTCGTTCTCTCAAGATCAGCTCCAAGGAGCAAAAGGGAGGCAAGGGAAGGCACCGTCGGGTAACCAAGGGTGATGGTGAACCCAGCCCCAGGTTACCAGGTCTCAACAAGGAAAGAGGAATAGCAGGGAAAGGGAGGGGTTTTCACAGCTCCAGGCCTCAGGACTTCTGGCCATCTCCCCACCCTTGTTTCCCACACCCTCCAGTCTCTACCCTGAATTGGGCTCATTGCTGGGGCTGGGTCACAGCAGTTGTTGTAGCCTGGGAGGACAATGGTTCCACGTTTAGCCAAATCCCGCTCTCTGTCCGTAGGATCAGCTCAGGCTTCCGACGCACCTTCTTGGTCCTGTCTGCTGTGAGCCGGAACCGAAGTAAAGTCAACGCCACGACCACCTTCATCTCAGACATGGCAAAACTCTGACCAATGCAATTTCTGTCCAAGGAAAGGTCACAGAATATGTCATGACCCCCCCACCCTGAGCCCTGCTAGAGGATATAGGGAAGGGCTGGAAAGGGGGCAGGATTGAACAACACTCCCAGCTCTAGGCCCTGAAAGAAAGGGAGAAGATGGGGAGACATGTGACTAGTATACACCCAACCCCAGATGCTGAAGGAAAGACAGGACAGTGTGGGCAGGGGGGAGGAGTATAAAGAGCATATGCCCAGTCACAGGCGCTGCTTAAAGGAAGAAGGGAGCCAGAGTGGAGAGTATACACCCAGCCCTAAACCCTGAAAAAAGGGATCAGGGTCCTTTCCTGAGCTGAAGTCCAGCCTGGACCTCAGGCTCCACATAGATGTCCATGAATTTTCTATGTGCATTCTAGGAATGCTGTGGACTGGTTGAAGGCCCCCTAGAGAACAGAGCTGCCTGCCTCTCAGACCCAGCCCTGTGGATGGGGACTCTTAGGACATCCTGGAGTTTCTAGAAAGAAGGAGCTACAAAAACCAAGGTTGGAGATAGGGAGGCAAGAGGCAAGAAGGTTACCTGGGTCCAGCTGAGAAGGGAATGTAGGCCAGGGGTGACCTCTGCTGGGGATTCTCAGGGTCAAAGCGGTAGGGGTTGAATACCTGAAGGGAGTCATAGCCAATTCTGGTTAAATGAGGCACCACGCCAGTGCCTTCCCTCAGTGTCCCAGAGAGGCCTAGCTATGAGATGTTCTAGCGGAGGCTTACATACAGAAAGGCATAGGAACTTGGTTGGTTAATCTATGGTGCTCATTCGAGTAAGGGGTCACCAATTGCCTGGTAAAGCCTTATTTGTTAAGGCTGGAGAGAAAGAGAGGGGATGGTATAGACAGAAAAATAAGTGGGTCAGGAGGCAGTTCCAGGCTCACTGGGAGACAGCGCTAATCTAGCTGGGCTGCAGCCCAGAAGGCCCAACCACAAATGGCCTGGTCTTCAGTTCCATGTTCCAAGGGCAGCTCCCCAGGGCAGGTAGGGCAGGCAGGACTTCCTACCTCCTATGGGAAAGGGAAGGAGCCAAGCACAGAGAACACATCCTTTCTTTACCTTGGAATCAGGCCACACAGAAGGATTGTGGTGGGTCCCATAGATGCTGACCAGGCAGATAGTCCCTAGAGGGAGAAAGATCAGAGTCATTCAAAGGGAATGGGGGAAAAAGGGACAGGGAGATTTCCAGAAAGCAGCCCCAGTTTGGGTTCACAGAATGGTGCTTCCCACACTGGGGAGAACCAAGAAATCAACCTGGAACAGCAGAAAGTGTTTTGTGAGGGATAGGGTAGAGAGGACAAGGGAGCCAAGGAATTCATTTTAGTTCAATTTAGCAATGGGGAGGGGGGTGTCAAGGATAGAAAGGCTATAGATATAAATATATAGGTATATATGTATGTGTATATATACATATATATATATGCCTGGCTATGTAAACATGTATTTTATATATATGAATGCTCAAATATTTATAGCAGCACTTTGGGGGGTAGTAAAGAACCACAAATAAGGTAGATACTCTTCATTTGGGAAATGGCTAAACAAAGTGTGGTATTATATGAATGTAATGGAATATTATTCCATTATTATAATGAATGTTATTATTCCTTAATAAAAGATATGAAGAATTCAGAGAAGCATGGGAAGATTACTATGAACTGACACAAAGTGACATAAGCAGAACCAGGAAAACAAAACACTATGATTACAACAATGTAAATGGAAACAACAACAAAAAAGCAACAATAACAAAATAAAAGCCAGTAACTGAACACTGTTCAATTATAAGGACCAGATGTGGTTCCAAAGAAGAACTGAAGAAACATAGGTGCAGAACACTGCACATACCATCAGATAGTTGATATGTTGGTTGGTTTTACTGAATTACTTTCCTCCACCACCCCCCATCTTTTTTTTTACTCTTTGTAAAAAGGTTGGGGTGGGGGAGAGTTTCTCTGAATAGGGATAGGGACACCTAACTGGGGAGGGGAAGGGCGAAGGATATTATTTGAAATTTATGAAGGTATATAACATAACATAATGTAATATAATATAATAAATCATACAAACAAAACATTTTAAACAAGCGTTTGTGTACCTCCTATGTACAGAGATCTGTCCTGGGTGCTAGGAATACAAAGACAAGTGAGAAAGAGAACAGTTGATGCTTTCCAGAGGCATCTACTTGACTAGTGGGATGCAAACAAGTAAAAAGAAGCAGCAGATGATTTGAGGAAGGAGCGAGGGCTGACAACTGAGAATGATCAAGAGAGCCTTCTCAGAAGAAAGTAAGAAGATGGTACATGAACTAAGTCTCGAAGGGAGCAAGGAATTCTAAGAAGACCTGTTCAGGAGGGAGTGCATTCTGGATGTGAGAGACAGCCTCTGCAGGGACACAAAGGCAGGAGAGGCAACGTCCAGCAGGCCATTTTGTCTGGAATACAGCATGTATGTGAAATGTCTAGAACTACAGGCTGGGGTCAGACTGTGCAAGGTCTTAGTTGATAAACAGAGGGAGCTTATATTTTATTCTATAGGCAATAAGAGGCCAATGAAATGTAAACTGAAGAAATGGGAATAAATTGTAAGGAATTTGGAAAGAAGGGTATTAGCAGTTGCAGGGCTCAGAAAAAGCTTCATGTAAAAGAAAGAGAGGGACTTTATGAGTCAGAGGTGAATAGGAAATGTATTCCAGGATGGAGAGAAAGACACTACAAAGGCTGGGAGACAGGGTGCTGTGAGTGAGGAACAGAGAGAGGCTAGTATGGCTAGACTGAAGAGTGGACGTGGGGGTACAGAGACTGGAAAGACAGTGTAGGTCTTTAAAAGCTAAACAGATGAGTTTATCTTTTGTTGTACAGGCAATAGAGAGCCACTGGAGTTGACTGAATTGGTGGAAACACGGTCAGATCTGTGCTTAAGGAAAATCACTGGCAGTGGGGTGGAAGACAGACTGGACTGGGTAGAGATGAGGTAGAGAGGTCAGCAGGAGGCTACCGCAATAATCTAGGCCAGAGGCGATGAAAGTCTGAACTAAACAGCTGTGGGAGAAGAGATGCTATGAAGGTGGAAATGACAAGATTAGGCAACTAAGTAGATAGGTGGGGTGGGGGAGGATGAGGAGTCAAGGATTATCGCTGAGGTTATGAACATAGCAGACTCAAAGGATGGTGATAGCTTTGACAGAAACAGGGGAGTTGGGAGGAAAGGTAATGAGTTTTATTTTGAATGTGCTGAATTTGAGATATCTACAGAGCATCTAGCCTGAAATACCCAATAGGCAATTAGTAATACAGAGCTGAAGCTCAGAGGAAAAAGAGAGCCTGAATATATAGATCTATAATCTTCATAGAGATGACAATAAACCCATGAGAGCTGATAAGATCACCGAGTGAAAGTATAGAGAAAAGAAGAAGGAAAGCAACAAGAATTTATCAAGTGCCTACTGTGTGCTCAGCATTGTGCTAAACACTTTACAAATGATCTCACTAAATCCTCATAGCAACCCTGGGAGATAGGTACTATTATTATGCCCATTTTACAGTTGAGGAAACCAAAGCAACTAAGAGATTAAGTGACTTGCCCGGGGTCACACAGCTAGTATGTCTCTAAGGCCAAATTTGAACTCAGATCTTCCTGATTCCAGGCCCAGTGTTCTATCCACTGAGCTAACTAACTGCCTCTGGAGAAGGTCCAGGACAGAGCCACGGGCAGTACCCACAGTTAGTGGGTGTAATATGTAGGTAAACCAGAAAAGGAGACTGAGAAGGAGGAGGAGAACCAGGAAAGAGCAGCGTCACAAAAGAAAGGACACAGTATCTAGGACACAACCTGATCAACTGGGTTACATGCAGCAGGCAGGATGACTAAGAAAGACCATCAAATTTGACAATTAAGAAATCAAGCAAGCAGTTGGTGACGAGGGAGGGAGATTAGGCTATATGGGAGCCATCTCCACACAGATAGTAATTGAACTCATGATGGGTGAAGAGATTAACAAGAGAGGATATGGAAAAAAAGGCAAAAAGGGTCTAAGAGAGAACCTGGGTTTCTTCCCAAGGTTAGGAGAGTCAGCAAGGGAGATAAAAAAAAAAAAAAAGGAACAGACAGTAAGACAGGGAGAAGAACCCCGAGAAGGCAGCATCACTAAAACCTAACCTAAAAACCTGTGATGTCGACATGTGCAGAGGTCAAGAAGGATGATGGCAAAAAAGATCATTGGATCTGGTGATTAAGAGCTCCCATGAACCTTGAAAAGAGCAGTTCTCATTGAGTAATGGAGTCTGAAAACAGATTACAAGAGGATGAGAAATGAGTGGGGAGGGGAGCCCCAAGACATGTAGAAATCTTATTCCAGAGGTTTTGTTGCGAATGAGAGGAGAGATATAGGATGATAGCTTGAGGGGATGGCCAGGTCCTTGAAGACTTATTGAAGGCATGGAGGAAGCCTATGCATGTTTTTAGGCATTAAGGAATAAATAATTACATAGGGAAAACTTCAAGATTAGAGAGAGGAAACAGGGGGAGATGATTAAGGAACAAACCTCCTGAGGAGAAGGGAGGCCATCCAGGTCTTGAGTAGACAGGTTAGCCTTGGCAGAGAGAAGGACCATCTCTTCATCAGATACAAAGATGAGAACAGGGACCTGAGTTTGAATCCCAGCTCTGGCAATGATTTCTTATGCGATTTTAGGCAAGCTACCTAACTTCTCAAAGCCTCGTCTTCCTCAGCTGAATAAGGGGAAGTAGACTAGATGATCTCCAAGGTCACTTTCAGCTCTAAGTCTATACCCCACCGTAAAGTGCTGAGAATGCCAACCTCCTCCTCTCTAACTCTTGAAATCCTTCTTTCCCTTCAAGACGCAGCTTAGGCACCACCTTCTTAATGAAGCCTTCCCAGAGTCCTCCTCAGCCCCCAGGTGCAAGTGAATTTCTCACAGCACTTTGCCTGCTTCTCTCCTCTGCCCCTATCATCGTCTCTATATAACATCCACCACAAAAAAAAAAAAAGGTGTTTTTTTTTTTTAATGAAAAACAGTCCCTGACCTCAAAGAGCTTCCATTCTAGTGAGGGAGGGGAGGCAAAACAGATAGCATGTAAAGAGAAAAGTATATCTCCCGCTTATTTTATTTTATTTATTTTTACCTTTTGGTGAGGCAATTGGGGATAAGTGATTTGCCCAGGGTCACACAGCTAGGAAGTGTCAAGTGTCTGAGGCCGGATTTAAACTCAGGTCCTCCTGACTCCAGGACCGGAGCTCTATCCACTGAGCCACCTAGCTGCCCCTCATGCTTATTTTAGAAAGCTGGAAAGAGCAGTATTATATAATAAGGAAAATGGATGCTACAGAGAAGACGATTTATATTTGACAGAAGGAAAAAATATTCTAACTGTGAATGTCCAAAAGGAAAATGGGATACCAGCAGTTCCCTATCACTGATGCTCTTTAAGCAAAGGCTGGAGTTCACTGCTTGTAGGGGATGTCGTAGTGGGTAAAGTGGCTCAGGTGTCAGGTAATGAAACCAAAGGCAGCTAGGTGGTGCCATAGTGCACAGAGCACTGGGTTTGGAATCAGAAGGACCCATCTTCCTGAGTTCAGATCTGGCCGCAGACACTTACTAGCTGTGTGACTCTGGGCAGGTCACCTCATCCTATTTGCCTCCATTTCCTCATCTGTAAAGTGAGCTGGAGAAGGAAATGGCAAACCACTCCAGGATCTTTGCCAAGAAAACCCCAAAATAAGGTCACATAGAGTCAGACGCGACTGAACAACAACAACTAATGAAGTTCTTCATGGATTCTAGGTCAGAAGGCATATGTTTGCTTATTCATTCAGTCAATCAGTCCTTGCTCTGACATAACATACAGCTTTGAAAAAAATCACTTCCCCTTTCTGTGCCTCAGTTTCTTCATTTATAAAATAGAGGGCAGGAAATAAGATGAATTTTAGGGTGCCTTCCAGCTAGAGCATTTTGTGGATTTTATTCTTCTTCCAGGTTATGCAATGTATAGATCACAGAGCCACATTTATTTGAGTACATGTCAATGTCATATCCCACATATTAGATTATAAGATCCTTGAGGGCAGGTTCTCTTGTTGTTTTTCATCTTTGTATCTCCCAAGGACAAGCACAGGGCCTTTTATATGGTAGGTATGTAATAAATAGCTGTTGAATTGACACATGCCCTCTCCCTGGAGTCCCAGCTTCCTCATTTCCTAGGATATAAAGTTGGAAAGGAACTTAGAGGCCATTTAATCCAACACCTTGTCTTACAGATGAGGAAACTGACATCCAAAGAGAAATGACCTTGCCCAAGGTCACACTGGCAGCAAGTGATAGAGCTGAGATTCAAGTCAGGACCTACTGATTATCCCTTCAAAATGTCCCTTGTATCCATCCTTTCTTCTCCATCCTGATCCTAGCCCAGGCTCTGAGCATCTCACACCCAAATTGCTGCAATGGCCTCCTAGCATGACTCTATTCTGGCCCCCTCCAATCTGTCTATACAAACAGTCTGATGCATCTTCCTGAAATAACTCTCAAGTTCTTATTCCCTTGCTCCAAAATCTTCAGGATTCCTCACTGCCTGTCACAGAAGGTATAGACTCTAGTCTTGTATTCAAGACCTTCTATGATATGGTTCTACAATACTACCTATCCATGGGTATCCCCTACCGCTTGACCCTCTACACTAGGCAGCCTGGTCTCATTGACTCCTATCCATGCATCCTCCTTTCCATGTCTGACCATGCTATTCCTCTTGCCACATGTATCCCACTCATGTCCTCCACTCCAACGGGAATCTAAATTTGATCAATCTCACACCTACATACTACTTTACACCTTTTCCTTATCAGCCCTCTAGGCTTCAATAACTTTAGTCCATCTACTCATCCCCATTACTAGCTTTTCTATAAAAGTAGTCAAACAACCTCCCTTCAATTCCTTCTTCATGCCACTGCCAGAATAATCTTCCTTACAAAGAGCTATAGTCATGACTCTCCTCTGCTCTAAATCTTCAATGGCTCCCTATTACCACCTGATGATAGCTCAGATTCTTCTATCTGCCATTCAAGGCTCTCCATAGCCTGGTGCCCCCTTACCTTTGCATCCTTTTCTCCTATTACTCACCTCCAACTCTTTATTCTTGAGTCAAACTGAACAGCTCTGCCCCATTCTGTGCACCTTCTATACTCTCCTACCTCTGTGCCTTTGCTTAAATTCTCCTAATCCTAGAATGCCCTCACCTTCCTCCCTTTTACTCTTAACCCATTCTACCAATCCTTCAAAGCCCCACTCAAATGTCATCTCCTCCAGCGAGTCTTCTCTGATTCCCCCCAAATGTTAACAACTTTCCCCCTCAGACTTTACATGGCACTTTATTTTAAAGTTCTCTAGTGTCCTTATATAATATTGTATATTATGGTTTATATTTACGGGTCTTGTCCCTTACTAAACTGTAAGCCCTATTAGAACAAGAACAGTGTCCTCTCTAATGTTTTTTCTGCACAACAGGTACTTTAAAAAAATGTATGTTGGTAATCCAAAGTAGAAATAGAATTCCAAATGGCACCCATTATCCAAAGTTCATTTTGGCATTTATCCCATCTAGCCTGGCCCACCTCCCCAAAGGGTACCATAAGGACTACATAATGCTAGGCTCCCCAGGCTGGGCACAGAATAGGCCCTCACAAAAGCCTGACTTGAACAGGGTCCCTGAGGAGTCTCCTTCCCAGGGCTCAGGTTGGTACCTTTGGGGATGATGCGCCCATCGGGCAGCTTGATGTCCTCAGTGCAGCGGCGTGAAATCAGAGTGACAGGAGGGAAGAGGCGAAGGCTCTCCTTGATACACATGGTGATGAAGGGCATCTGGGTCAGATCATCCCTAGGGAGAAGCCAAGCCTGTGACCTTTTGCCACAGGTCTCCCGGCCAAGTAATAGGGACCCCAGGACCAGCTCTGCTGTTGACTCAAGGGATGACTACAGTGTCTCCATCTCTAGGGTCCATTCCAGCTTTAACAGCTCTGATGGGCACCTGTGGCTCCCCACCCCCATCCCACAAAGCATCAGCCTCCCTCCCTTCATCACATCACTGGCTATAAGAGAAGGCTGACTCAGGCCCCAGGGCCACATTTTCCCACTCAAGGCCTTCATTTCCCTGGGCATCTAAGCTCATCCAGCCTTACCCGTGCACAATGTTTCATCCTTCTTCCTCCTCAACCCTCTGAGCTCAGACAGCCTTGGCCCACCCACTCCTTCCTTTCAGTGACTATTGTCAAACTTCTCTTCCCTTCCTGGCCAACCGGTGTTTCACCTCCCCCACCCCTGGAACCCCAGAGGGAAATTCCAGAGGGAATACCCAGGAGGGGTGCCAGAGGCAACATTAGGAATGACTCTCCATTTTGCCCACTGCCCCTCAGCTGCCCACTCCATTTGCAAAGGCTCATGGGGCTGGGTAGTCTATAGTCACGTAGGGCCTCCCCAGTGTGATCTCTTCCTGGTGGGTGTGTCAGAGGAAGCCCAGTGAAGCATCCAGCACTCACCACTCAATCTCCTCCGTCTCCCTCCCTCTCATAATCTCCTGGATCTCCTCCCGGCATTTCTCCTGATATTCAGGGTGTCGGGCCAAGTTAAATAACACCCACGAGAGGCCACTGGATGTGGTGTCATGTCCTGTGGGAGTTGAGAAGGGAGTGGAGGGGAGAGGTGAAAGGAAAGAACAAGGTCATGTGAAAAAGAACATCTCTACCCCTTTTCCATGGATACCAGTGGTGCCCACATCCAACATTAGGGCCTCCAGAAGAGCGGGTGATTCACATAGCCTTACAACCCCTGTCCACTGTCCATTTTGCTTCCTGGGTACCCATTCTCCTGACAGAGTGAATGAGAAGAAGCTCACCAAGGAAAGTTACCTAATCCAACGGCGCTGAGAGCACAGAACTACCCAATTAGAAAGCAAGGCCAAGCCTTGAGTCATGGTCCAAGAATGACTTTGACTTCATGCCTTTTCTCTGTAGCAACCCTCATTCATCACCCCTAGGAAAGTCCTTTCTTCTTCTATCCTGCCTCCACACCTCTCCTCTCTTTCCCTTCCCTTTCCTTCCTATGTCCCTTCTCACTCTCTTCCTCACTACTAGGTGGCTATATCCCTGTGGGCAAGTTACACTTGCCTAAGATACTCCCCCAGTGAAATGGATAGGGATCCATGGGAGTCCCAGGAAGAGGAGTGCGATGGGGATCACCAAATTAGGGTTGAATCTAGACACTGATGCCTACCAGCCACTTGGCCTTCGGCAAGTCTTAGGATCACAGGATCATCTCAATGAGCCTCCCAGCCTCAGTTTCCTCATCCGTAAAATGGGGAGAACAATCTTGCTACAAGCCCCAAGGGGGCTGTTGCAAAGAAAATAACCATAACAGTTCACATCTATATAGCACTTATCTGGGAAGCTTTGCAAAGCATTCTTACAAAAGTCCTTATTTGATCCTCACAACCACTGTGAGGGACAGGTGCTATAACTGGAGGAGATGAAGAAATAGGCTCAGATTTGCCCAAGGCCTAACAGGTAAGAAGTGTCTGTCACAGGATTAGAACCCAAGTCGTCCCACCTCTAACTCCAGTACCCTGTCTACTGAACCACACTGCCTCTCAGAGTCCAAAGTACACTATAATCCTTAAATGAAATAGATATGTAGGTAAGCTATTGGTACTTTTGATGTGGAAAGGTTTAGACATCCTAGAAAGAAGGCACTTCACGCACTCAAGTATTATTAGGGAAAAACTAGATACAATTTAGATGAGGCCAGAGGCTGGCCCAGAAAGGCCCTGCAAAACCCCAAACAGAACCTGCAACCCATGAATGCCCTGAATTCTTAGCTAATCTGTCCTGAACATCCTGAAAATGATTCTCAGACTGGGATTGAACATCCGCCCATCCCTCTGATCTAGGAACTCTGTTGGAATACATGTCTTCTAGCACCCCTTTCAACTGGGTTCTGTGAGCCTCCTCCTCCCTGCCTTTCCCAACCCCAGCTCTCTTCCTGGGGTCCTCACCCTCAAACATGAAGGTATCTGCTTCCGCTCGGATGTCCTCATCTGACAGCTGCTTCCCATCTTCATCCTAGAAAGGGTTCCAGTTGTGAGTGATTAGCCCCACCTCCGCCCAGTAGAGGCAAAGGCCATTCCAGGAGCAGACACCTGGCCTGCCCTCTAGAACCACCCTCCAAACCCCAGGGAAGGGAGGACCCTACCCAGTGCCTTGTTGAGGAACCGCAGAGAAGGAAGGGGAGGTAGGAATCTATCAACAAGCAATTGTTCAGAGCTGTCAGTGTGTGTGTCAGGCTGCGAGCAAAGACAAAGGCAAAACATCCCTTGACTTCAAGCAGATTAGATTTTAATGGGGGACAACATACATATACATAGGACAAAAATAAAAAGGAAAGAGAAGTGGCATCGAAGGAAAGCTAGAAAAGGAAGAAGGGGAAGAAGAGGGGGGAAGGGAAGAGAAGAGGAATGAGGAAGAAAGGAAGAAGAGAAGGGAAAGAAAAGACAAAGGGAAAGGGGGGAGAGGCATGGAGAGGGGGAGGAAGAAAGAGGATTTGCTAGCCAATGATGAGTGAGAGATGGTTCAGAGAAGTGACTTCGACCATGACTCTAGGCCCTTCCTCACCCCTCCTTGGCCTCCCTTGCTCACCTTGGCCAGCAACAGCACATCAATGAAGTCCAAGGTCTTGCCCTGCTTGGATCTGAGCCAGGCCTCTGCCCCCTGCTTGTTTAGGGCCCGTCGCCTCTCCTGTATGACCTCGGTAGTGAAGTGGTGCACGGTGTCACAAGCCTCCTTAAAGCGCCGCCCATCCGCTGTCCGGTAATAGATGAAGTCCAGATGGTGGTGGATACGGTACTGGCGTTTCACTACCAGGGCACTCAGCTCAATAATGGCCGTGATGTAGTCACTCATCTTCCTGCAGGGCAGAGGAAGCACAAGGTTACAAATGGGTAACAGCAGCCTCAAGTATGAGGGGCAAGATAGACTAAATTCTCCCAAACTAGTCATTCTGCCCTAAACCTATTCTAACCCATGAATCAGAACCATGGAATATAGAATGTCAGAGCTGGGAGGGTCCTTAGAGTATAGAATGTCAGAGCTGGAAGGACCCTTAGAACATAGTATACCAGAGCTGG